CTGAGCTACAGCCACCATAATCACACAGCTACACTAACAAATTAATTTAGGTAGCAGTAGATGTTTTGCAAGGTAAATAACTGTTTTGGTCATTGCAGCTGGAGAAAGAGTAGTAGTTCCTTGCTGGAAACATCTGTCTGAAGGCAGGAATAGCTTAGTGTAATAGATTAAGATCTTCATTAGCTGCAGCAACACAACAGCTATTCTCCCTGGGGTTGGAAATATAGTATAGTGGTGAAAATGTATTAACCTCCTAAGACCCGAACTCTTCCACGGCATGCATTTTTAGTTTCTCTTTGATATTTGGGCTGATTGGGGCCCGATGAATGTAAAAACAAAGAATTACCAGATTTTTTTTTTTACCTTATTTTTGTTTTTATGAATAATCAGAGCCACATATGAGGATATTCGTTTAAAATTTTGATAGAACAGTAGCAGTATAATGTCCTCGTAAGTGGATATCAGGCCCTTGTAGAGCAAAATTGAGTATTTTGGTCTAAATAACCCAAAATGTGATGTCCACATATGTGGACACCAGGTCCTAGGAGGCTAAATATACCCAGTGTTGGGAAGGTTACTTTTAAAATGTATTCCACTACAGGTTACAGAATACATGCCCCAAAATGTATTTTGTAACGTGTTACGTTACGTTACTCTCATTGAGTAACGTAACGGATTACTTAATATATTATCGTACTTTTTACAACTACATGAATGTACTATTGCTGTGTGATTTATTACTATTACTGCAGGTTACTCTCCATACCAATACCAACTAGATGTTTCAATCTTAATTTAAATGAGTAACAGTTCAGCAATCTCGTATTAAAACTATTCTGCATGTATATAAAACAGGTTTGCGGCTCCGAACTGTAGTAAAGGGACCTCTGGCTAATACGGTGGGTTCTGTGTCGGGCTTGTAGCCGAAAAATAGCTTTACTTTGTTGTCTGGGTCAACTTTGCTAGCAGAGACAGAGAGAGGCGTTGAAAGGCTGCTCCAACTAACTTATTGTTTCGGAGGAAAACACGAACACGGTGGCTGAGCCTGCATTTTTTAGGGCGATGCCTGTAACACTCTGCCTATTGCTTTCATATGAAATCATTTTTTGAACAATAATTTTTAAAAATGTTTCTTCACGTCATTATGCGGGCC